ATTTCAAATTTTAGATCAATGATGTTTCAATCTGTGAAATCGCTGATGTTTTATTAGATCTATGAAAAAGATCAGCAGTGTTTTTCAGATATGTGAAATCAAAGAAGATCTGAAAAATTTGAAAGATTGGTTATGCTTTTTATATCGGTGAAATAAAAAAAACTCCCTTTCTTTTAGTTCACTTGCATATTAAATTTAACTTTGATTCATCCATTTTTTACCTTTTTAACCTTTCTTCATATTTTGGTTTTGAACTGAGGTGTTGGTTTAATGCATTATGATTTTGTTTTTCAGGTCATTCAAGTGGTTTAACTTACTTGTTTGTCAACAACATAAAAGGGTGATATTTTTAACTTTATATCTCTTGCATATCGTTTTCAATGTCGGTTATAGTCATTTTTTACATAAAATTTCAACCTTTTACACATTTTCATGTCTGTGTGTTAAAGAAGACATTCTTAATGCTAGTTATGATGGATTTTGACATAAAAATTCAACATTTTTCTCATTTCCTTTTGACTGTGTTAAAGAAGTTATTTATGTTTCAGTTTTTGTTCCTTCGACCAACTAAAAATGGAAATATTAACTTATTTCTTACATCAACAATTCTTAACTCAAAGATAAAGAAAATGCAATGAAAAATATTTGTTTTATTCAAGTGGTTTCATTTTAATTTTTTAATTCTGATCTAGTTTTTTTGGTCTCAAAGCAATGATTTTGGAGGTTGAGACAAATATTAAAAGGTGAATTAATTGGTAATATTTTGGGATTTCGTTTTACTCTTTTTATATTGGTTTTAATTATAGTTATTTGTTATGAAAGATGCTGATTTTGTGTTTGTCTTTTTGCTGAAATGAAAAAAAAGAAGATTTTGATTTTGAGAAACTAACTGAAATCAGATAGAATAAAAGGGGTTCATTAGTTTTGGTGAATTGTATTCAATGGAGACAGAAAGAGAAACTAACTTCATATTTTGTCTTTTATATTTAATATGAGCAGTTTTCATGTTCTTTCATATTTATTAGTTTTGAGGAAGGATGCAAAACATATAATTAAATTAATTTAAATATATAAGACCAGCTTTCATGATCTTATATTATTAAATTAATCTTATTTAATAAAAATTAATCTTATTTAATAAAATATGCATAACATTTTTAATATATATAAAAATTGAAGATAGCATCAAAATATATTAAATTTATATATAAAATTTATAACGAAATTTAATAAAATATATGAAATAACAACATTGTAATTTTAAATTACGTTATATTAATCTATAATAAAAATAAATAAATAAAAATTTCTTATTTTATATGTATTTTACAATAAAAACTAAAAATTAAATGACATTTACAAAATCAATTTTTTTGAAACACTTAAAGTAAAAGCTATTTTTTTTAGTCTTACCAAAAATCTAAGTCATAATTTTAACTTTCTTTTATGATTGAAAAGTAAAGGACAAATCAAAACAAAACTTTGTTTCCCAATTGGTATTTAGATGTTATTTCCTCAAACTCTTCATTATTCTCTTCTCTCTCCACAATGCCTTCCCAAACTTTTCTCACTTTCTTCTTCTTCCTTCTCCTCTCTTTCAACACCCTCACTTCTTCAACATCATCATCATCACAAAATGATGACACTTTCAATTTTGTTCGTCCTATAGATCCCAAGTTGTTAGGCCTAAACAAGAAGGAAAAGCTAAGTCATTTGAGATTCTATTGGCATGACATAATGAGTAGAAAAAACCCAACATCAATTATGGTTGTTTCACCAACCTTAAACTCAACCTCTTTTTTTGGTTCAATTAACATGATTGACAACCCTTTAACATTAGGACCAGAATTGAGTTCCAAACTTGTTGGAAAAGCTCAAGGCCTCTATGCAAATCTTCTTCACAAGAGGAACTTACTATGCTTAATGCTATGAATTTAGCTTTCATTGAAGGAAAGTATAATGGAAGTACTATCACTATGCTCAAGTTACTACTTACTCTTTTGATCCTAAAACATTTGATGCTGTTGTTGAGTACAATGTTTATGTTTTTCACTATTGATATATACCTTTATGGTTGTTTATTTTAAAGGTAGGATATTGTTGGATCATGAAGGGGTTCAAGGATTATTATATTGGGTGATAATAGTGAAGTTTGACTCGATTTAAATTATTAAAAAGAAAAAGGAGATATTTTGTCCAACTAAAAATATGACTATTATCATTGTCAAAAAACATAGTTGAAGGGGGCAAATTATCATCCAGGTCATTGCTTAAGCCACAACAAAGGTGGAATATAAAAATAGAAGAAACAACAACATTGATGACGTTAACTAGGGAAGTTTATGATATAATACATTAAAAAAATTGAATCGAATTGAGTCGAACTATACTAAAAAAATTATCTTAATTAAATAAAATAATTTTAATTTATTTAGCATTAAATTGAACCAAATTTATTGATTTTGTATATGAGTTTGGAATTTTGAATTGTATCAAATCCTTAAAAGATAATTTTTTTTAATTAATATTTGTTAAAGAATCGAACTACTTTTTTTTTCTTTCAAATTTTTTAATAAAAAGTTTTAAATTTATGTTTAGTATTTTTCATTTTTCATTTCGGTTCGATTCAGTTTTAGTTTCAATTCGGTTTATTTGTTATTTGGTTCGGTTCTATAACTCTTTGTGCGACACAAATTTAATTCACAAAGCAAATATAACAGTTTGATTATTTTAATTTCAGTTTGATTAGATTCAACGGGTTTTATAAACAGTCCTAACAACAACTATGGTGAAATTATGCTGACAAACAAACATGCTCGTCCAATTTAGAATTTGTGTGAATTTAGAATTGGTGTGAATTTATTTGACTATTGAATGAGTATTATAGATAATAGATAATTAAAAGAAAAAAATTGATTTTTACATGGATAATGAAATAAAATAAAAAATGGATAATAATGAAATGGATAAATGGATAATTATTAATATATGGATAATTGAAATGATGTTTGGAAATTGATATGAATTTAAATTGAATATGGAAATGAATTGGATTGAAAGTGGAATTTAGGTTTAATGGATAAATGAATGAAATTGAAATTGGTTACGGAAATGGGTATGAGTTTTGTAATGCACCTCCATACTTAAACAATACTCAAAACCTCTGACACTTGAACTTGTATGCCACAATTCTTGAATTAAACCAAAGAGGATCCACCTTGAATCAATCCTTAAATCCATCTTGAAATGATCTGAACTTTAATGATTTTGCAACTTGATTTCACCAAATGACTTAGACTTGACATAAAAACCCTAATTTGATGATCTTCATATGTACAACATTGATCTATGTCAAATCCAACTTGAGAATGAAACAATCTCCTCTTTCTTAACCAATATCAAGTCACATCCAATTGAACTGGAACAATGTTGCACACACATATAACCTGCTAGCCTTAAGTGAACATAACTGAATGCCACTTGTCCATCTTAAACACAAAAGGGTGAGACACCCTAATCATCTTGCCTTGGACCTAAACTGATGAAGTAATGAATTAGGAAGTTTATGAAAACTAAAACCCTCTGATAAAAGATGCTAATGATGATTGAAAGTCCAACACCTTGTTTCAAACTTGAGTGTAACAACCAAATGAAAACACCTTTGAATGCGAGACATCCAAATTAACAGAAAATCTCTGATCCCATGTCTCAGGAGCCCGATGAAATGTATGCTATGCTAAATAGATGATGCAAAGCGAAAATAAAGTCAGATGAATGCAAGCTCAAAAATGCTTGGTCAAAATTTGGAGTATGATAGCTACCCCTATTTAATCTTCTTGGATCTAAAGGTATGAATAGAAACAGCTTTTCAGACATTCGAGATAAAAGAGGATTAAATACTAGAATACCTAGAATTTTGACCAATTGAAAAAAATGGAAAAGATGCAGAGATATGCTGGAGATGCAAATAGATAGTATATTATGATGCAGAGCAGTTATGATGATATGCAATGCTACTGATGCCTGAAAGACTCTTTGGTTTTTGGTTAAAAGGTTTTGGGTAATGGGGTAATGGTACTGACGAAAGGTAAGGTAAAGATAAGGTAAGACCAACGAGTATATGTATAGGAAGTATGATCAACAGATCTACAACCGAAAGGATGGTAAAATGAGATCAACGAATCTATGAACAGGGAAAAAGATCAACGGATCTACAACCCGCAAAATAAAGAGAAACAGCATCAACGATTTGCGCCTCAAAGGAAGATCAACGTATCTATGAATAGGAAGTAGGATCAACGGATTTACAACCAAAAAAAAAATCAACAGATCTACAATCTAAAAGATGGAGAGAAACAATATTAATGGATTTGTCCCTCAAAGAAAAATGAACGAATTTTATAAAAAAAAAAAAAAAAAAAAAAAAAATCAACGGATCTACAATTCTTTCTCTAAAGAAAATTGTTTGGTCAACCCTACATATTGTTTGAGATTATCCTCTTATCCTTGTAGTAACACCGTACTATGTTATTCAATGCTTATAAAAAAAAAAAACACACAAAAATTCATTTCTGCTTGACTGACATCACTGACTCAGACACAAGCTTAAATATATTAACAGTTTCTTTAGAAATTCCGTGGCCACAGATTAAAATAGGAACATAATCTAAAACATCAACTCAATGACAAAAAATCAAACATATATGACATAAACAAAAGTAATTTTTCAACATAAGAATTACATTTTATAGTCAAATTTGACGGCCTAAAATTTAATTATACACAGACAAAAAAAAAATCTAACTCAAATTTGCATTTAGTCAAATTAAACATACTGTGTTTATTAAAAGTCTTAATTCAATAAATGAATACAAATATTATTAAATAATATACTAATTTGTAAGTTTAAATTTGAATGAAATTTTCCCATTGGTATTTATAAGTTGTTTCCTCTATCTCTAATTATCATATGATCAATTCTCACTATTCTCTTCTCCCCAATGTCTCCCCAAACTTCTCCTACTCTCTTCTTCCTCATTCTCCTCTCTTTCAACACTCTCACTTCTTCATCATCATCATCATCACAAAATGAAGACACTTTTGATATTCTTAGTCCTACCGATTGCATGTCGTTAGGCTTAAACATGAAGGAAAAGCTAAGTCATTTCAGATTCTATTGGCATGACATAATGAGTGGAAAAAACCCAACATCAACTATGCTTGTTCCACCAACGTTAAACTCGACCACTTTTTTTGGTTCAGTTCACATGATTGACAGCCCTATGACATTAGGACCGGAGTTGAGTTCCAAACTTGTTGGAAAATCTCAAGGCTTCTATGCTTCTGCTTCACAAGAGGAGCTTGCTTTGTTTATGTCTTTGAATTTTGTTTTCGAAGGAAAGTATAATGGAAGTAGTATCACTATCTTGGGGAGGAATCCTGTTTTTGATAAGGTTAGAGAGATGGCTGTTGTTGGTGGGACTGGAGTTTTCAGATTTGCTAGAGGCTATGCTCAACTTAGTACTCACTCGTTTGATCCTGAAACTTTTAATGCTGTTGTTGAGTATAGTGTTTATGTTTTACACTATTGATTTTTAGTTGTTGTGTTGTTTATTTTATGTTTGATTTTAAGATTTGTGTTTGTGTTTGTGTTGTTGTTGTTGTAAGAAATTGATAAGGTTTGTGTTTGTGTTTGTATTTTATTTATATTAGAATTTGAGTTGTCAAATGTTTTTGGAAATAAGATAAGATAGTTACATGCAAGATAGTTGAAGGGGGTAATTTATCATGCAAGTTATCACTTAAGCCACAACGATGGTGGAACATAAAAATAGAAGAGAAAACAAAAACAATATTTAGAGCTAATCATGGTACAAAAAGTCGAACTGAGTTAATCCAAACCATAATAAAATGGCATTTAGAGTAAAATGAGTCGTTTTAATTTGTATAGTATTAAATTGAATCAAAATTATGTGTTTGATATACAGATTTGGAATTTTGAACTATACAAAACTAATAAAAAATAGTTTTTCTTAAACTGAACTATTTTTTAAAAACCAAATAGTTATACTATTTTTTAAAAAAAATTAATTTTTGTTCGGTTCGGTTTGATTTCAGCTTCAATTCGATTTATTTTTCATTTGGTTTGATTCTAGAACTCTTTATAAAATATATGATTGATTCACCAACCAAACATAACGATTCAATTATTTTAACTTCTGTTTGATTATGTTTAATGGTTTTTAAAGTCATAACAACAACTACGGTGGAATTGGTGGTGACAAACAAACGTGTATGCCTAGTTTAAGTGGGACCCTAAAAACCCACAAACAAAAATGACACAGAACAGGTAGAATAGAGCGCACGTGCATAAAATCTTAACTTGGCTTGCCAAAGATTATAGGCAAAATATGCATATTTGGTAGCCCATCCCTGTTTTGTCACACCTATAGGTGTAACAATAGAGGAAAAAAATGAAAACCATCAAAACACGGTATGGAATAAAGAAACAAAACTTACTTGTGTTGATCAAAATTGAATTATAACAACAGTGCATGTTGCTGAGTAATGTAGGTTGCTGATAATGGAAATATCATAATAATGGAGTGTTTAGATAGATAATTTGAGGCTAAAAGTGAAGACAATGTAAAAATGGAAATGGATGGAGGTGGAGAGCCCACCCCCTATAAGATACACTCAACAAGTCCTAATGGTGGAAGGTTTGTTCGCCAGCCCCAAATCAAATCCAAAAAATGAATCCCTTGGAAACGCCCAAACCGAAATTCTTGATCAATCATGTCAATCATAACTACAAAAGTCATGATATTCGGACTAAAGAATGCAATTTCTACTATCAAATAATAATGGACACGATATCTCAAATCAAATATGGTGTAATTTGAAGGTCTATTTTGATTATATGATCATGAAGATCATTGATTAAAAAAGCCACTATAGAGATTTGAAAGACATTTTGGAGTCTGTTAGAAGATATAACATGCGCTTCAATCCCTCAATGTGCGCCTTTGAGATTTAAGTGGGAAAGTTCTTTAGAATTATGTCGACCTAGATAGAGATTTAAGCGACCTTGAAAATATCCCAAGCGATCATTAACACGAGGATCCCATTCAGCACAAGGAAGTTTAACAACTAATAGAGCACCTAGCTACCCTATCTCATTTTATTTCATATGCATGTGACAAAGCTTTCCACTTCTTCAACACTCTAAAAAAGAAGGAAAATTTTGAATGGAAAAACTAATGTGAGGAGGCGTTCATATCTTTGACAGGGCGATAAAATCTCTACTCATCCAGGAGAAAGACAATATGGAATAACTGGTCTACTTCATAAGCAATGTATTCAAAGGAGCTAAATCAAGGTATCGAAATATTGATAGATTGGTGTTAGCGGTCTTGATTAATGTAAGGAAGCTCAAAACATACTTCCAAAGGCATCGTGTGGTGGTCAAGATCAACTATCCAATCCATTAGATCCATAAAAATCCAGATCTAACAAGTAGAATGGTATGTTAGTAAGTTTAGTTGTTCGATTATAATATCAACTTCATGCTTAGAGGAAGCATAAAATCGTAGGTGTTGATTGACTTCTTGGCAGAGTTCAGTTCACTGTGGTCAATGACGTCCCCAGGTATGGATACTATTAGTAGACGATGCCTCAAATGTGATAGGTAGTGGTTTTGAAGGCCCACACAACCTCCTCATAGAGAAATCAAGGGTATTTGAGTTCAAATCTAGAAACAACCAATTTCAGTATGAAACCTTCATTGGTTTTATGATTGTCACCTTAAAGATGGGCCCTTTGTGTCTCAGAGCCAGGAGTAACTCACAGTTGATCAAAAATCAGGCCACTGAAGAGTATCAAGAAAATAACGCCCAACTAATAAAATATCTCATAAAGGTACGAGAATTATTTAACTGTTTCAAATCATTCAAAGTGATATATGTTCTCAATAAAAATAACTCTCGAGAAGATCTCCTCTAAAAGCTCGCTAGCATTAAAACACTCGGCCATAAGCATACACTCACGCAAGAAACTCTAATTGCTTCTAGCATCAAAATAAAAGAAGTTAACACCATCAAAGTCTCCCAACCCACAAGTTTGATAATACCTATAACACGATACTTAAAGATATACGAGGTTCCTACAGATGAGGTTGAGGCGAAGAGAATCTGAAAGCTTGTAGTTATATAAACCATGGTATTAGGAAAACTCTATAAAATAGGAAAGACTTCCCCCATGCTGATATGCCTAGGGGAGGGTAAGGCTGCCTTAGTCCTCTAAGAGGTCTGCCAAAGTAGGAATAACATTGACGCATAATCTCTCGCCCATAATCTACTGAGGGTGGGTTATTATTGCCCTACTCTAATGAAAGATATTACGGATTTCATAAAAAAACGCAAAAAATGTCAGAGGCATTCCAATTTATATCGCATGCCAGCTGAGACTTCGTATTTGTTCATATCACCCTAGCCATTTTACCAGTTTTGCATGGATATGTTAGGCCATTTACCAATGGTGACAGGGAAACTGAAGTTCCTAATCGTCCGGGTAGACTGCTTCACGGAATGGAGAGAGGCGGAGTTCGTCTCTAAAATAACAGCAGAAAAGGTTCATAATTTCTATTGGCAATTGATTATATAAAAACTAAGCCTACCAAAAACCATTATCTCGGATAACAATACACAATTTTCAATTAGTTTGTGATATATTTTTCGTCATATGATAATACAGATGAAGGTCATCTTTGTCGTCCATCTGCAGGCCAATAGACAATCGAATCAGCGTTGATACTAAGCAAGATAAAAAATAAACTAGATGACACCAAAGGCCTATGATACAAACAACTTCAAGAAGTATTATGGTCATATGACACTAACCCTCATTGAACTATCAAGGAAACCCCATCTACAATGGGACAAAACTCATGGGTACAGGTAACCTGGTCAATAAGACTAGAGAAATTACCCATATTAGGGAATTTGATGTCAATTAGAAAGTCATCAGGAGATACAAATCGAAGATGGTCCCAAGGGATAGGCAATAAGAAGTCCTTATACTTAGACAAGAAGTAGCATCCACTCGGTTGGGAAATCTGCTACCTAACTAGGAAGGATTTTATCAAATGTACCAGAAGCTTCCACATGACGACATGCTTGAGAAGATGGATGAAAGACTTATCCCTGAAACTTGTACTTAGTTAATTTGAGATATTATTATAGCTAATTATTTAATTTTTCATGTTTATAAGGGGAAGGCCCATACCCGCCAATGTATGAACCCTCTTAAATGTTTGATTTTTTATGTAGCAAAGGTAGGGTCACACTTCTTTCCCCTACAAGGGTGTTAGTTTTAATGAGGCACCCCATCTTCTTAAGTATCTGGTGATATGATCAATTGTATGTTCCACCTTCAAGAAATGATTCTTACTGCATATAAGGTAATTTTACGTTGGACCTTTAAAGAAAGATCTTTTGCCCCTATACATAAACTATATATTGGGCATACAAAGAAGGATCATTTTCGTATATAAGATAAGGGTATGTTGAACCTTCAATGAAGGATCTTTATCGCCTATAAAGAAACTATATGTTATACCTTTAATGGAGGATCATCATTGTCTATAAGACAACTATGTGATATTCCTTCAATGAAGAATCCTTGATTCCTATAAGGCAATTGTATTATGAATCTTCAAAGAAGGATCCTTGCCATCTATAAGGAAATTATAAGTTTAACCTGTAATGAAGGATCATTTCCACCTATAAGGAAACTATATGTTGGACCTTTAATGAGGGATTATTGCCGCCTATATGGCATATCACTATCGGAGTCCTCATCAAAGTTGAGATACACATACCCCAACAAGCTAATTATAAATAAATAAATAAGCAACAATATTTGTTAAGAGTTCTGAGTGTTTTTGTCGATAAACCATAAAGGGCCTACAAAGGTTCTATAGAGGGAAAAGGGGAAGAAAGGAACTTAATGGGATCCCCTGAGCTCCATCTAAGTAACAACAAACACAGATGTTGAAAAATGAAGAGTCCCTAGGGGACTCGAATGTCTAGTCTCACTTGAGGGACTCGAATTTCTAAGTCTCGTCTAAGGGACTCAGTTATTTAAGTTTTGCTTGAGGGACTCGAATGTCTAAATATCTCCAGAGGAACTTGAATGTCTCAGTGTCACCCGAAAATATACTATATATATATATATATATATATATATATATATATATATATATATATATATATATATATATATATATATATATATATATATATATATATATATATATATATATATGCCTTTATTGATTAAACTCACACTTTTTAATACCTCGTGCTTAAGGAATTGTGGATTGAGATAATTTAATTTGGCCCAAAAATGGACGTTCTATGATAAAAGTTCTGAATAAAAGAAGTAATATTGGAAGATGTGGCGGAGAAATTTGTGAGTGTAAGCTATTGACTAACTTAACTCAAAATGCAAGAGTCGCCACCGCACTTTTATTTCATCCAAAAGGAAAGGAAAAAGAGTGAAGAAAACCCGAACAAGTTCTAAAAGAAGAACA